CCACGTGGGAATAATTTAGAACTGGCCAATAGTGGGACACAAATTTGCATGCGGGTGGCGGGAACTCCTTTGCACTGGGGTTTTTTTCTTTACAACTGAGAAATGCACCTTGCAAAGAAAGCTCCGCGTGGCGGGAAATAATTTAGCAGTGCCGAAGCGCGCGCACACCAAATCACACCCTTGGGTTGTGACAGAAGCATCTACAGTTGTTTTGTGCTCTTCCTGGATGGAACAGAATGGAAGCCAGAGGCCAGTATGTGAGAATGACTGCCTCAGTTTGTATTTTCACTGACTGGCAGTGGGTGAGAGATGGGTTGGGGAAGGGAGGGAGGGAGGGAATGCAGACCTGGTGTTAGGATGTAGCTGGTAAATAGTAGAGAGGTTACCTGGGGTATCAGACATTAGGCAGGTTATAGTGTGTCATAAAACCAATGTCTATATTTAGTCCGTGATTTTTTTGTATCCAGTAGGTTGATGAAGTGAAGTTCGTAGACTCATCTGTGAAAGGTATTTTGTAAATTCCCTTTGAGGATTAGAACTGAGAGATTGAAGAGAGAGTGGTTGTCTTGTGAGAAATGTGGGTAATTGGGTATTCTTGTCTTTTATAGCTTTTCGGTGTGCATTCATTCCTGTATGCAGTTGTTGTTTGGTTTCTCCTAAATATTTTCCATCAGGGCATTTAGTGCACTGGATATATTACATTTCTGGAGGTGCAGGTGTAAGATCCAGGAATCTTGATGGTTCTGATGTTGGGTGTAGTAATTGTGGGGGTGGTGCAGATATGCTGGCAGGTTTTACATTTCTTGTCATGGCATGGTCTGGATCCATTCAGTGTGTTTTGGGCCGTAGGAAGTTTGCTTCTGGTGATGAGGTTGGCAAGGTTTGGTGCTTGTTTGCTGCTTTTGCTTTAGAATTTTGAAGCAAACTGAAGGCAACCATATCCTTCAACGTACCAGAAGGACTTTATGGATCAGAATCTATCTTTGCCAACTGCAAAGTGTTTGACCCATTTATCAAGGCTCAGAGGTCACACAATTACAGCAGCTATAAAAATATTCTGCGTATTTCCTTTGCAAGGCAAAAGAGTTCAAGCACGACCTTGGCTTGTACGTGGTACGTGAACTGCCCTGTGTTAGCAACATAATAACGCTTGACTACTGGAAAAGTGAGATCCACTCTCTGTGTGTTATATTCAGTGTGGCATTATGTGCACTCATAGTGCCAGTAACTTCAATGTCTGTGGAAAGATCATTCAGTTTGTTCAGAAAAATTCAAGACAAAAGTCACATGTGCCTCTCTGAAGACTGACTTGGACAGCTGAACCTTTTGTAGTACAATAAAGACATAAACTCAAATGTGGAGAGCTTTCAAAATCAGGGTTAATCTGCTGAATCTAGAAAATCATGCATTCCAGTAACTGTAACAGAAGACCCAAGGTTTTGTTTTTTTTAATTATTTTTTAATTTTTCACTTTTTGTTTACTAGTGCACTACCAAATGAACAGAACAATTTAAAGCAGGTGTGACTTATTGATTTGTGGATATTTACTTATATTTTGAGATGTGGTTTTTATAAAGCTTTTAACAGTATACTGTCATTAATAAATTGTCTGCTCCCGACACTCCTAATTTCACACAAACCTGAATATTTAAATAGGTAAAAATCAAAATAAACATCAATATTCTTCATTGAAATTATTTTAAAAAATCCAGTTCTGCCAAGCCTAAGAATAACAGTGTTCTACGCCATGTGGAAATAATAAAAGTTGCTCAGCTCTCAAAAATAAAGTTGCGTGAAAAAGCAATATAGTACATAGACATTTAATGTACCTGTAAGTGTAGATTTTTTAAAAATGATTCTGTGATGCATCTTTTAAATGTCTGTTGGAGCTATATATGGGACCATCAGCAGGCATTTTTTCATGGTACATAGGCAACCAGGAACCTTGATTAAGAGGGTCTTTTGGATGGGGAAAAGGTTAGAACCCTGGGAGTCCAGTTTATGATGGGAATGAAGAGTTCATCCTGGATTTTCTAGACTTTGAGAGAGGAGGAAAGCTTTTCCCAGTCCTAGGCCCTACCAATGGCCTCAGATAGGGTACCTTTCCTAGCAGTTCTCAACCTCCTGGTACCATGGGGGCTGAGGTAAGGAGGGTACCATGCATACATCCATCAGGTATTGTCCTTGCTACAGTTGGATATGGATATAGTGAGAATGTCCTGGATAAATTTCCTTCATGTCCCATGGCTTTGAAACAATTGGGAGAAGGAAGACTCCCTTGGAAAAACTATTGAGGTTTTAAAATAATTCTTTTTAATTCGAGTAGGATGGAAGAAGAAGAGCCATTATCATATGGATTGCTCTGTGATAAGATTAATAAAGCTCATAGTCATATATCCCTCTATGTTTTAAGGATTACACAATAAATTGGGAGATAGTGGGTGTAGTCCAACATGAAAAAAAATGGAATAAAACCAGGAGAATTGATTTACTGCCCCTTTCTTCTTGTGCTTGGAAAAAAGTCAAGGAATTTATCACTTCAATATTTTTCTGAAACCCAAAGTTAGGTGTTGATGTTTTGCAAGGAGCTTACCATCTAAATATAACTTTTATTGCACAACTGTAGTCAATTTGTAGGATGTCTCACCTAAAAGAGTTTTGTTTTACGCTTCCTATGCTAGGGCACAGTGCCACCTACAGCATTTAACTAACTTGGGTGAATGTTTTCCAAGGTCAGATTTATAGGAGTGCTGAAACTTTAGAATTTCTAAGGTCAGCACTACATTCCCACAGTTGCTCTCTGCACAGATTTTGCACTAATCCTCTCCTTCCTTCACAGCAGCCAAACCATCTTGCTGTGTGCTCCAGACTCAAATGAGGAAGCTGCTGGTCTCTGCTCTACTGAAGATTGGGTTCAAGTTCCCTTTCCCCCTATAATTGCCCCCTAAACTCTGGAAGAATCAGTTGTTCAGTCAGATGATGAAGCTGGACAAAATGTGCCTAATGAGGCAGAAGTTGGTTCCTTGTTCCCAGTTCCTTATTCCTTTTTCAAAGCTAGTCCTTACACAATTAAAGGCTGTTAATAACTAATAAATTCCACAGGCTAAAGAGTTAGGTTTTCATTACAAATGTGTATTTACTAATAAAAATCTAAAATAATATTGTGTATCAAATACACAGCCCTGAAAAAAAGACCTGAGATTAGGCTGGCATTATGGCACAAAATCCCTTTCGGGTCACACTTAAAACATGTCTACACCACTGGAGGACACTTCTGAATAAGTCTGAGCAGACCACTCCCTAACCCAAAACTTGGTTTTTGTGTGCCAGTCTGCATGATAGTTCTTCCTCCTGAATAAGGAACTGCATTTGGGCTGGGATTATGGGTTAAAATCCTTTTCAGATCACACCAAAGCACAAGAATCTGCCACCAAGAAAATCTCTCAAAGTCTCATCAGAGTCGTGCCTGACCAGAGGCTCAGTCTCTGCATGCCAGGCTGCCAACTTAGAGTCCCCCAAGCCTGAAAAAGGAGCTAGGTTTGGCTGGGAATATGGATGGAATTGTTTTCAGGTCACCCCAAAACATACGTGTCTGACATCAGAGGACTCCCCCAAAGAAGCCTGGGCAGAATCCTACACTACCCAAAGTTCAGTCTGTGATTACCAAGCTGCCAACTCACAGGCCTCCAGACCTGAATAAGGAGCTAGGATTAGGGGTGGAAATCCTTTTTGGGTCACCTCACATCTTTGGCATTGGGGGACTCCTCCTAAGAAGCCTGAGCAGAGTCCAGCCTGATCTGAACCTCAGTTTGTGAGTGCCAGGCTGCCAACGCACAGGCCCCTGGCCTGTGCGCGCTGTATAGAACATTGAATAAAGAACTGGGTTTGGGTTGAGATTGTGGGTGGAAAGCTTCGGCTCACCCCAAAACACAAGTCCCTGCCATTGGGAGATTTTCCTGAAGAAGCCTGGGAAGAGTCCTGACCAATTTGAAGCTTAGTTTGTGAGTGCCATGCTGCCAAGTCCCAGGCCCCCGGACCTGAATAACAGGTTGGGTTTGGGCTGGAATTACAGGTGGAAAACTTTTTTGGGTCACCCCAGACTACATGTTCTGGCATCGGGGGACTCTCCTGATTTGACACTCAGTTTGTGAGTGCCAGCCTGACAACTGACAGGCCACAGGCCTATGTGCTCGGTACCTAGCCCTGAATATGGATCTGAATTTTGGGTGGGATTATCAGGTAAAATCCTTTTTGGGTCACACCAGAACACACATCACTGCCACCTGGAGACTCCTGAAGAATTCTGGGAGGTCCCTGCCCAACCCAAAGCCCAGCTTTAGTGTGCCAGCCTCTCAACCAATGTTCACCTCCCCGAGCTGCGTACTATTCACCTAGCACTGAATGAGATAAATTGGGGCTGGGGTTACAAGTGAAAATCCTTTTTGGATCACCCCAAACCACATGTCTCTGCCACCAGGGGACTGTCCTGAAGAAGTTTGGCCATTGCCTGACCCAAAGCTCAGTTTTTGTGTCAGCCTGCCAATTTACAGACCCCCAGACTTGCGTGATACATACATTCCTGTGAATGAGGAGCTGAGTGGGCTGGGATTATGAGGCAAAATCCTTTTTGGATCACCCAAAGAACTCCTCTCCACCTCAAATATATTAAAACATCAGGAACAAAGTAGAGAAAAATAATTCCAAACAAATAACTTTACACATACATAGTGAAAAGACATGACAGGTGCTTATCTAAAAATCCTTATATTGGCCTATATTTCTGTCTGAAAAGACTGCTGCATGTTTAATAAGGAAAACCAAAGGAGAAAAACCACAGTGTAATTTTTAACATGGTGTAAACCTGAACCAAGAAGTCAAATAATGCAATGACGCCCCCAGTCATTCAAGTAGGTTCCATGCTCACAGGGATAAGTATTCAAAAATTCATATTCTATATATATGTAACCCTTCTGCTGGGCACCAATTGGCAGCACCAAGGGCCGGGTTTAATTTTGGGGTCTAACTATATTTTACCTCGGCTTGAGCCCCTACCCAGACCACCTGGGAAACAATAAATTACTAGGATGTTCCGCATTAACAAAACCCCGTCCTCGCAAGCAGTGTAAACACAGAAGATAAGTTTATTACAGAAAACAAAGACCAAAAGAGCCAAAGAAAAACACTAAATACAATTTAAAACACTACAAACTACAAAGCATAGTTCATAGATTGCATCCTCCTAGGGAGGCTTCACCCATGCCCAGGCAGTCTGGAACTGGGGGCTCACCCAAAAGGCAGTTCCAGGGGCTTGCACCCTTATACCTGCCCTTCAGCAATGGGCTGGAGAGGGGGGCTTAACTGATATGACCCATTCTGGGCAGTTTGCTTAAGGGATTAATAGCCCCATGGCATTAACCCATTTTAAAAAATGTAAAAGAAAAGACAAGAGGGAAGAAATAGGAATCTCAAACTCCAAAACAGACTTTCGTTCCTCTACCAGAAGCTTTCCCTTCAAATAGTGTTTGCTTGCCTTTCCAGTGAAGACAGGAGTAGACCCCCTTCATGAGGAGCAGGTTTTCTGGCTCCCAGTTCAGCTGGGCAGCTCTCAGCAGGCAGATGAGTAATAGCTCCCAAACCTTAGTGAGTTGTTCTTATGTACCTGGTATGACATCACCCAAACCTTGTCTAATCCCAGAGGGACACATTTCAGTCTTTCTCCCAACCAATCTGCCTGAAGCATCCTGTGGCCAATGAAGCCAGCGTGTTTTATGCATTTCCCCCAGAAACAGGCCCCAGCTTGTCACGTGCTGAGCATGTGGTCAGGACAACAGGGGCCGTCTTGCTCGTATCAAAACACACAGTATGCAACCCAGTGTGGGTGTTACATGCGTACCCCTGATTATGTCCTGCAGGTTGTTTCATAGTGGAAACTTTGTATATTCCTTATCTGCACCACCTCATCAGGACGCAGAGGGTACAAAGGTCTGAGGTGGGTACTGGAATGGCAGCCTCCGCGGTGGGCCTGCCTGCCCAGAATTGACTACTAAGCTGGTGCGGGTGGGTGCACCTGGCTGATGCACCCTTCCCATGTGACTGAGCAAGGTGACTGAGATCCCCAGCTTGGTTTGCCACTGACTATTATGACTGTGATTAATTTTGAGAGGTGGGTAAGGGTTAATAGTTAAAGTTTTGCTTAGCATGTACCCTTGCTCCCCTTTTCCAGTTGCCAGGCTGGCAATCAAAAACCCAGCTTTAGGTCAGGCAGTGCCCTGCCCAGGCTTCTTCGGGAAAGTCCCCTGGGGGCAGAGACACGTGGTTTGGGGCAATCCGAAAAGCATTTTCACTTGTAACCCCAGCCCCAAACCATCTGATTCGGTGCTAGGTGAACAGTACAGAGCTCTGGGAGGTCATGGATGGAGAGGCTGGCAGATAACAACCGAAGCTGCGCTAGAGCTGCCCTCACCGGTGTGGGCAGTCACCACGAGGGCCGACAGAGGGGGCGAACCCGCTTTCCCCGCGCTCCCCTGCCTGCCACCTCCGGGGTGGGGACATGCAAATCTGACTTCTGGCCACGCCTCATTGAGCGGCACCTGCCCACTAGGGTCTTTACGGAGCCTTCGGAGAGCTATCGCGAGATTAGCAAGCGCTAGCGTGGAAATCCGAGCGTCTATATGAGCTAGACGGAGGCGGCCGCACGCGCGGGAAAACAGCAGTTCTCGCGAGATTTTAGTGAGCTGGGGAAAGGTTGCGGGAGCAGGCCGGTGGTCTCGCGAGAACGCGCGCAGGCGGCGACACGGTGGGAGGGAGAAGCGGGCTGGGAGCAGTCGGCGCGGCCGGGCGCGTGTGCGGGTGGTCGTGCTCTCGCGAGCTCTCGGTGCGGCGCTGTCGCGTGCGAGGCTCGCGCAGGCCCCACGACGTGTGGAGCCGTTGGTGCGACAGCGACCCCCGCGCGGCCTGAGGTAGGAGCGGGGCCGTGGCCGGGCCCACCCGTCTCGTCCCGTCCCGTCGCCATGTTCAAGCCGGACGCGGCGGCTTTCCCTCCCCCCGCTCCCCCCCGCGGGGGGCGGGGGGGGCC